TTTTTTTGTCTTTTATTTTTCAAGTATCTTTATACAAATTGTGTGCTTTGTTTGCAACAATAATGAAACAAAGTTCACTCCATACTGCTGTCATAGAATAATGAATCGGGTGGAACTAAGGACTTTAAGGACCGTGTCTTGGGATCCCAGGAACGGATGCATGAGAACGATCAACAGGCAAATGCTTTGGACGACTAAAAACTCCCCAACAACTCTTCCATTTATCATCTGTCTGCTAATTCAGGCTCAGCAATATCCACAGTTGTTCAGCATGTGTTCCTTATGTTGTGTTTGGTGATGACTGATGGCTTTCTCTGATTATTTATATATTGTAAGTTCTCATGGTTACAAAACCATCAGCTGAACTGGAACGGCTGATTCCCGTGGCCACTTTCTGATTTAACATGTGTATCTAATTGTTGCTAGGATTGACCCTACTTCCTATAAGGGCCTTGGCCAGCTGCTTTAAGATGGACTGGATCATTTTACATCTGTCCTTACATATTTTTGAAGTTTTTTTAGAGTTAATATAAAATGACACACACATGGCGCTGTGGTCTCTGAGTTGAAGCTAATGTTCTTGCATGACTGTGTGGTAATCGTTCCATTGCTGATGGACAGGTTGGAGCTGTCTATTGGTGAAACTTGTCATCTTTGGAGCGAAGCAGCTCCTCTGACTTCGCTTTGCACACATTTTGCTCTTTTCTTTTAATAGAATAGTCATGAGATCATTCTGACCTTCAGTTCCATGCCTGTTCTTTTTCTTTGTTATTGTTCTACTTTAAAAGCAAGATGGCTGCAGAATGAGTGGGTTCGTCCCTCATATGTCCTGTTTTTGTGTGTTGCAGGTACAAAAAGAATCTGAAAGCCTTTTATTTTGTACACCCAACGTTTCGTTCAAAGGTAAGTGTCAGGAATCTTGATTGCAGTTTAAAGAAGATGTTAAGATCTTTTAATTAATTGTAATATTAGCACTATCAAATTAAAACTGTATCTTAAACATTCCAAAAAAAAAAAATAATAATAATAATCCACTGGACTTTGTTTCCAAGTTTGAAGACGTTTCGCTTCCCAACCAGGAAACTTTTTCAATTCAGGTTTGGTAATTAAATTATGAGAACTTTGTCCCAATTTATGACATACTTTATGGGCTTTCAGAGTTTGGTTAATTGTACCGTTTGCTCCAGTAGCTGCGTCTAGAGAAGAGCAGCTCTCAGTGTTATTCTAGTCCATCCCAGGCCGAGTTTGGCGACCCGCACCAGTCCAGTCCTACCCCACCAGGACTTTGACTTTTTATTTTAGCTAAAAAACAAAGCCAAGCTCCTCTGATTAGTTAACATTTTCCAACTCTTGCGTCCACAGAACGCACAACAGATGCTTGACATCTCAAAACAGACACATGACATGCGCCACAAGAACCGCTTGACACCATGAGATGCGCATCCAGCTTGTGCTTTAAATGAAAAAACGGACGCTCCTCACGCTTAAACTGCGTCAGGTCTAAACACACCATTTGGCAGCACTGTGGGTTTTTTTCTAAACAAATATTGCAGAACAAAAAAAATTTGTTAAAATTTAAAAACAAGCACAAAAGGTGAGGATTTCTCAGTCATCCAGTTCATAGTCATTTTAAAAAAGTTTAAAAAAAAAATAAACACTGGACTTTGTTTCCTAGTTTGAAAATGTTTCGTTTCCCATCCAGGAAGTTTTTTCAGTTCAAAATGTCACAAATAGCATTCAGTTCGAGGCTTTATACAGTCGAGTGCACAACTTATACAGTTTAAATGCAAAAAAAAAGTGGATTATGGGGTGAGTTACTCTTTAATTTGTCATTTTATAAAAAAAAAAGGAAAAAAAAGATTTCCCTCTGTAGAAAAGGTATTGTCAGACTTGAATTTCAGTTCAGTGTATTTATATAGGGCTAGTTCATAACACCTCATCTCAAGGCACTTTACAATTCAACCAGATCATTCAATCAAATTAATTCATAGTTTTCTATCTAAGGAAAACAGTTTGATTGCATCTGGTTTGCTTCTAAACTGCTATAAACTAGGATAAGCCCCATACTTCCTTTACCTTTAATTTATCATGGATTTACTGGTATTTAGTTCATCTTTATTTATTGAGAAATATTAGTTTTACTAAAATAAATGCAAATTTCAACAAAAGTGGCTGCAAAACCAGGAATTTGGGACACACACACACACACATAGATATATATATATATAGGTACTTGTTGATGGCATTAAAATTCTTTCTAATAGCATTAAAATGCTTTAAACCAGAGTTACTATAAACCCTGTCTTGGATACCCGCTCAAAATGGCACAATAGCTAAAGTTTAGTTCTAATAGTGAAAAGCTAATATTCTTTTTAAGATGTAAACCTTCTCTAAGTTGTTTCTGGTAGTTTTATTAGACAATCTGCACCACTTCATCACACAAAGCCCTTAGATTCTTAAACTTCTAAATATTTTTCTTTTGGCAAAGAGAGTTACAGGCAGCGTCAGTGCATTCTGGTTTATGTTAGTTCTTCGTTGTTTAAATAGAACCACAGGACGTTTGCATAAAGGCAAAGCGTTTTGTCAGACCATTAAAGGGCCATTACATTTCATTTATTATTATTTGTCTCTGAGAATGACAGGATAACAATCTGAGAACCACCGATAGACTTTTGTTTTGCTGTTCTCAAACCCTACGCAGGTTTCCACTTGGTTCTTCACCACCTTCACTGTGTCCGGCTTGAAGGAGAAGGTTCGCTACCTGGACAACCTCCAGCAGCTGTTTAGCTGCATCAAACCAGAGCAGATCGACATTCCTCCGTTCGTCATGGAGTACGACGCGCGGGTAAGCCCCACTCGCTCAGGGAAACACAGATTGTGCTTAAACTAGTCAAAAACTCTGCAACTACTTTTAAATTATGAGGAAGAAATTCATTGGTGTGAAAAAGTTTTTCCTCCCGTAAAAGATTTCTATGCTAGTAAGGTAACCTGAGCAAAGAAATTATTTCATCAATTAGGGATTAGAAGCTATAGACATAAAGCAAAGTTCAATGGGCCACTTCAGACCCTTCATTCAGCTTTATGAGACTGATTTCAGATCATCGTCACGCTGCATTTCCTCAGTAGCCTTCAGCTAATTGTCAGTAACTGATGTCGGCCTTTCTGCTATTTTCAAAGAAAAGAATGAATACAGTGGAACCCGCTTATAGTGCTCACGTTGGTCCAGAGCCATTCTGAGCACTATAAGCGGTTGGTTACTAAAACTGAATTTACCGTTATTTCTTTTATTTTTTATGCAGAATATCACCTAAATGCCATTTGTATGGTTTTTTAATGAGAAAAATGAAATGAAACAGATAGCTTCCACATTTACTGAATTTTATTACAGTACCTTGCAAGTTTAATTACAGTATACTGCGCTGTGCGCAGACATAACTCGGATAGCCTACAGTAGGCCTATGTAACTTATTCTGTGCGTTGTCTCTGCTGTGCCGGCGGTGCATTTTTTAAACAAATCTGAAAATAAAGTTTGAAACAAATGCTTAATCACAGCACAGTACTGCGCAGTGTGAGGACATAACTCTGATAGCCTATGTAACTTATTCTTGCGTCAGCTGTGTCGTGCCGCCGGTGCATTTTTTTACCATCTCTGAAAATAAAGTTTGAAACAAATGGTTTCACAGAACAACATAGAAGATAACTGCATAGGCTACAGAAAATTAAAGCAAGCCTACGTCCGTTATGTGTTAAGGATCTGCTGCGCCGCATTAAGAAATCCCTTCACATATTTTTCCATGGTTCCCTGGATCAGAGCGTCCAACACCAATTTCACTTCTTTTTCAAAACGATGTAAAAGGTCAAAATTTTTGGAACCAACATGCAGGAGACCAGTCTTTAAAATGCAAACTTCTACATCCCAGCTCTGGACGGTACAACAGTCTCCTCTTCTTCATCTTCATCCTCCTCCCCCTCCTCACTGGTACCCGCACCAAAGCACTCTTGTACCTCCGCGATTTTGTCCTCATCCGACACGGGCTCTGACACCGGAGTGCTGTCATCACATTAGATCCACTTATTAATTATTTTTGCATGTTTACATTCATAAAATGGCCAAAATGAACACTATAAGCAGATTTCTTGATTACTATAAACAAATAATTAAAACAGGATTTGTATAGAAATGATTCTGTCCCAAGCATTTTGATCTATATAAGCAGTTGATTACTATATCCGTGACCACTATAAGCGGATTTCACTGTATTTCCATTTCTTAGTCTAGGTTCTACAGTAGAATAATAACCCCATAGCATCACACACTCCCCACCATGTTTTACTGTAGGTTTCATGTTCTTTACTGAATTGGTGGTAGGTGATGCCTTTCTCACACAGGGTTAGACCGGGTCACATAGCCTGCACCTAATAATTGAAATACTTGTAAAAGGACTATTTATTTTTACTTTAATCGTCTTCTAAGGCGGAGTGGCGGCCAAGTGGTTTGGGCATAGAGCTTGGAATCCTAATCAGACTGCCACTCTGGGTCCCTGAGCAAGACCCTTAACCCCGATTGCTACCCGGGCGCCCCACAATGGCAGCCCACTGCTGCCCAAGGGGATGGGTTAAATGCAGGGGTAAATTTCTCCAATAATATATATCAATATAGATAAATTATTATTATTGTTATTGTTATTATTCTATATGGACTTTGTTCTATCGCTGTTGCAAGCAAAGAACGTGGTTTGGAAAATAAAATTTGAAGAATACAATCCAGAAGAACAACTCAAAAACAGTTTTTTATTTAAAAAAAAAGACTGTGTTTTTTTTAATGTATATTTTTTATTTTATTTTTTTGTTATTTTATTTTTTCAATTTTGTTTTTATTATTTATTTCTATTTCCATTCAGATTTTTTTGATTCTCTTCTGATCTTGGGTCAGGCGTGTAGAGCAAGAATGCGTTTCTATTCGTCTGGTTTATGACACTTTTACTGGTCAGTTTGCTCGTTAAGAGCAGGTGTTTGTGAAACGCAGTTTGAAAGGAATTACATTTTCAAAGCTAGATCTGAATAAAATACATAAATATAAAATGTGGGAAAAAATGCAAAAATACAATAAAAAAAGAATTTGAAAATATACAATCAGTGAAAGAAATCATTGATAAAATAAAATTAGAAAATATAAACAAAGATAAAAGCAAAGTTTCCCTCAAAGCATTTTTTTTTATTTATTTACAAAACATTTTCTTCTCTTGCACCAATAATGGAGAGAAATCCACTCGTATTTTAAGATGAAACATGATACTTTGATAATCGAAAACATTTCAAAACACCAAAAAAAGTTTAACGACCTTGTCTGGGTTTCAGGCGTCGCTTCAGTGTCTGACGTTGCCTTCAAAAATGTTTTCTTACCCCTTTCTAAGTTCTGTGTTTATGCCTTCGACTAGAAAATATAAATCATTTCTTTTTTCTTTCTGTGAATGACTGATGATGGTAGTTTAAACTGGATCTGGTGATTGTCTGATTTTTTTTCTGAGGCTGTAAACTGAAATGCTTTACCTTCTAACCTGAACTCATCATACGGCTGTAATGTAAACAGCTTACATTCCTCTTTACGAAGACATCAGGCTTTACTGAAAAAGCCAGAATCAGTCAGTCGGGTTCACTCAGATTGATTGGATAGAATAAAGGTTTAATATTCTTGGTTTTCTAAACAATGAAAGGGAAGTACACAACTGATCATTTAATATAATAAAGATATTGTGCAACCTCTTAAAGCGAACCTAATTCAGCACTGATTTCCCATGCCAAGCTCTGTAATGTGTTTACACCCATATGCATTCAATCCCAGGCACTTCTGAGCGAGCTTTTATCTTAGTCTGATATTACCCAGAAATGACGGAAACAATCAGCCATTGATTGGAGTAATAATGATGTGCTTTTCTAAAAAATGGCACCTATTAATCACCTCGGGTTCAAACCCAATTTGGATGAGGAAGCGCAGGGCATTCTTTGTTGGTTTCTCACCGCATCAAATCAAAAGCTTTGAGTTTTTAAACAAGAATCGGTTGCTGTAGAAAGAAGTTTCTTCTTTGCAAAGCTAACCCTTTAGTATCTCAGAGTCTCCTGGATGTCTGGGTTCAAATGTAGACAGAGTAACTTTCTCGTAATATGTGATCACCAAAAAAATCTACATATGTACTAGGGGTGGAACGGTTCACAAAATCCACGGTTCGGTTCACGGTTTTGTGGTCACGGTTTTCGGTTCGGTTCGGTATATGTTGATTTTTAGGAAAATCTATTATGTCTTGTATAGTCAAGTCAAAACTGAAAGAAAAAAGCAGTCTGAAATTTGCTACATCATTGTGACAGTCTTAGCTTAAAAGTAGGTGAGATTCTGGCATTGCAAGACAGGAGACCAACTAGTTCCAACATGTGCATCATTTATTTGTCAAACAATCTTTAACAAAGAAGCATAAGCTCTATCAAAATTAGACTTATGCCCCTTTGTTTGAAATTAACTCAAGATAAAATGACATGTTTCAATTCCCTGATTATCAAAACTCAGTTTGTTCTGCAGTGTTTGAAATACAATCAAATAAATAAGGCTGGATTTCTTATCAAAGTGAAGTGCCACTGTGTTATCTAAAATAACAAAATAAATAATCCAGTAAATATTATAATCATTAATATGATTATAATATTTAGAATCATATTGATTATAAATATGAGCTGACATGTTGGTCGTGTTGCTGTTAGCATAAACAACACGTATTGCACAATGCTTGCACACTGTTTTTATCCACAACTTTCTTTCCGCCGTCATCGTAGGTCACTTTAAATGCAAAGTGGTCCCATACAGCAGACCTATAAAGTGCTGCTGGCGCGTCTTCCAACTCCTGTTCTTTCCCACTCGCCATACCCACACAATTCTCCATAACAACTGACTTTTTTCTGCTACACCCAGCTAAGCTGCTTCACTTCTTCTTCTTCTTGTTTACTACTGGTGGTTGGCTTTGGTCGCAGTACCGCCACCTTCTGCTCTGGAGTGTACACGCTTCACCTATGGGAAAAAGGAGCAGCGCATGAACCGAACACAACACACGCGAATCGAACCGAGACAGTCGAACCGAACGGTTCAGACGGTTTTCATAAACCGTTCCATCCCTAATATATACGTGTTTATTGCTTTATTGTTATGTGTTGTTGATGATTTCTCTGATAATTGATATCTGATCAAATTAAGAAATGAATTGCAGTTTGTAGTACACTGTAAAAAAGGGCTAAACTTCAGTGTTTGCCTATTTGGCTTTTTTGCCATTTTGTACACTAGGTTTTGGCCACTTTGTCGTCAACGTAGGTCATGTTTTTTCTAATTGTGGATGGAGCAAATTAGGGCTGCAAAATACATCCAACCCTGATCCTAATATCAGCGTATGCAATCAAGGGAATGTTTGGATGCAATATTTGGGAGAAGGTAATATTTCCAGTAACTTACTTTGCAACTTTGCATGGCAAAAAAATCAATTGAATAGCTGAATGGACTTTAACTTTTCTCAATGGCTGAGTATTTATTGGTGTGCGAGATGCTGGAGCTAATGAGTAGCAGTGGGAACAATGTGGAATGGTTAAGTAAAGCGTCGTATTTTTTAAATAAGTGCATTTGTTGTTGGATTGAGGAGGTAAAAACAGACATTTTGCCAATGTAACAAGACAATTTACATTTAAAATAAGAAAACACAATTGCATTTTCTTATTTCAAGTGCATATTTTCTAATTATCTTATTTTAATAGTAGAAATACTCATCCCATTGGCAAACTAATTCATTTACCTACTCAAACTAAGGGTAAATACACTTAATCTAAATCGTTTTTTCCAGTGTAAGGAAAAATAAATTCAGATGTAAAAACAAGTGGAAACACATGAGATCAGGATTTAAATTGAGAAACATTCTGAATTTAGTGTGAAGGTCAGGCTGTCCACTGAAAAGGCAAAAACCTGCAAAGATGCAGCTACGGGCTGAAAGAAAGGCCCAGTTCTTTCAGGGTGGAAAGTTGGCCAGGTCCAAGTCACAGACCAAGGGGAGCCCAGTTTGCAGGGGTCGGCTGTAAAAAAGGGAAGTTGTAATCATTGATTCCCAGCTAGAAGAACTAACTCATAGAATGGATCACCTTGACTTTTAAAACCTCTTCTCTATTTTTTGTCTCTCAGGTGAATGGACAGAACCACCCCAATGAGGCCTCTGGTCTGTGACAGGAGACCAACCGGACCTCTATGAGAGGCCGACGCCGTTATGTGGACGTCATTAATGGACATCAAACCGCCTCAGTGGTCTGAACTGCAGCGGGTAAATCTCACTGCTGTTCTTGTAAAAAGGAGGAGTCGTCTCAGGTCAAATTTATCATGACTATGTGCTGACTGTCGGTCTGAGACCATCGATGGATTATTCCTCACTGAGTTTTTTTTTTAATGCATTTTCTTTAAAGCAAATAAAGAGTCAATCCTCAAAACCTTTCACTCACGATCGAATCGCACAACTTCATCTCATGGTTTAGAAAGACTGGAGAGAGAAACTTCTGCTAAGGGAGAGCAGCAGCTTATTCAGCAGTAATAAATGTCATTATGACCGAAACGAGAAACGTCAGCCCAAAGAGGAGTTTATTCAAGGAGCCAAATGTTGTAGCTGTTTAAAGAAGTATTTTAAACAACTACAAATCATATCAACATCAGACATTTACATATATATTTGCTGTATATATCTGAGGTTAAAATAAAACATCTGATATATCGGGAGATGTACTGACAGGTTTTTAAAGGGTCGCTGGTCTGCAGCTGCTGTATGTTAAATTATAAAGTCCTGTTGTCTTTTAGAAAGTTTCCTCCTTTCCTTCTTGGGTTTGTGGTTCAGCTGAAAGACCGCTGATGAACTGGTGCAGCTGTTAGCATTTAGAACGATAAGTAGTCAATAATATAATAATAATTCTTCAGTTAAGAACAATTTCTTTAGTATTTTTTCTTTTCAGCGGATCATTTCAGCTTTGCAATCAGCAACATTTTCTATTTGTAGCTTGAAACATTTTCAGTAAAAGCCAGGAGAAAGTATACGTTTGCTTGCTTTATTTCAAAAAGTGTTAACATGCATGTTTACCTTTTTTTTTCTTTCAATCTAAAGTCCTTAAATATCCAAATATCGCAGATCCACTATCATAGGTAAAAAAAAATGCTGAACAAGTACTATTAACGGGTAGATGTGCATCTATCAGGCTTTACCTGCTTATACTAGTTTTCTGTTTTCTTTATGTTCAGAACGGATCACATATTTCACATGACCACTTTATTTTATTTACTGAGCTGCAAGTTCATGGATGGGTTGGTTTGAATCCAAAAGAAAATGACTGTTTCTTTTGATGATGAAAGGATTTAAAAGCTCAACGTTTCATTGTCATCTCTGTTCTGCATAAAGCTTCACTCTGTATTCCCCTCCTTTCATCAATTACTGACCAGCAGGGCTGAAACAATTCAAAGTGATTGATCGATTATGGAAATAATTCTTTGGTTACTGCTTAATCTGCTTAATAAAGACTCCATAATATGCCATTTGGAGGAAAAGAAACTCATTCATAGAAGCTATTATGCCAAAATTATAAAAAAAAATTAAATATGAATAAGCTCTATCCATATCCACTGACAAAGGGGCAAAATTTTAGCTTCAGTTGCTTTAAAGTCTGAATAAAATCCTCCTTAAGTCGCTTTTTTCTGTCCAATTATTAATCGATTAATCAAAAATAATAATCAATTATTAATTGATTAGCAAAATAATGATTACTTTGTGCCCTAATGACTCCAGTTCCCCTGCAAAAAGAAAATAATTGATGCAGCATAATACTGCCATCGCCATGCTTCGTCATGGGGAGGCCTCTTTCAAGGTTAGTTTTCCACAACATGCAGAATTTTGCATGAAGGCCAAGAAATTTGGACTCATCTGGTTGAACAAGAATGATTAAATTTCACCTATTCATGCATCATTTTTTTATTTAATTAAAAAAAAAATCTGCATCACATCATTATTTTATGAAGTAGCAAATGATCAGCAATCAGACCTGCTCAAAGTAATTATATTTGTGTATAGAAGAACAATTTAATTAATTTATTTATAAAACAGCGCCAATTCACAACACATGTCATATCAAGACGTTTTACAATTCAACCACATCACACAGTCAAATTGATTCAAAGTTTCCTATTTGCATATATTAACAATGCAGGTCGTGGTGCCTGAAAGTTCATTAACGAAATCTTCCTTCCTAACACCACCGTTAATTCTTTTAGCTGAAATCTGTTTTATTTTTAAATATAATCCCATTTATAAAACAAATTAGAAACTTTCACATTTAGATTTCTGTCATTTTTTGCCAAAAATCCTCATAACTATTTTCAAAATGTACAGTAAAGGTGGTTCTTCTGCAATTCTTAACTGCATCCTAATTCTTTAGTTAACTTATATTTGTCTCATAAAATATTCATTTTCTTGTCCTACAGAGGATTACAATCAGTTCTCATCCTGAAATTGCAATTACTGCTGCCATTCCATGTTTCGGTTCTTTATGCTTTGTGGAAGTTTCATTACTAATGGTTCATTAACAGCTAATAAAACTGCTCTTTTAAAATATTTACAATTGACTAATTAAATCCTGATATATAATCTATGTTTCCTTCACTCAGCGGATGACAGCTGATCACACTAATTGATTCGCTTCTTAAAGCTGCAGGCCATAACCTCAAACATCTGGAAAATATGACTCATAAACTAATAAAAAAAAAACTCTGTTAATCATTACGGAGATAGTTTCCTGACCAGTTTCTAAGTGTCACATTTGATCATTTCTCTGACATTAAAGTCTCTGAGACCCTCGGTTGCAGTGTAAACATGCCTGCCTGGTATGAGCTGCAGTAATACCACCACATAGCTGCCATCTGTTGGAGCTACGCTGCCTCTGTGGGCTGATTCCACCTGCATCATGTCATTGCTGCCATGTTCAGCATCTACACGTCTCTGGTGTCAGCTCCATTGAAAGTTCCCAGAGCCGCACAGGGTAATGAGCTCCGTTCTTAAAACATTCCTGATCTTAGTCCAGATAAAACCCAGAAATCCTGAGATTAAGCCATGTTCTCTCCTGCTTCAAATTACCAGACTTTAGTTGCAATTCTTGTTTTAATTTAGAGTCAAATGGGAAGAGTGCTAACACATTTATTTAAGACTTGAGGCTTTACAATAAAAGCATCAGGTGCGTTTGCTAAAACTGATGGTATTAAAAGAACAAAAGAGAAATAAAACCTGATCATTAACAACTGCAGTGAAAGGCTTCTAGAGTTCAGACAAATGAACGTCTTTTACAAGCATTGATTTTCCGCACTATTAAAGCTGTGATTATCTCAGAATGTATTTAACTGAGCCAAATTCTGACGTCATGGAGATGTGTCTTTTTTTTTTCTTTCTTTTTTTATAAATATCTGTAATCTCATGTTGTAGATTCAGGTTGTCCAAAGCTTTCAGGGTCTGAAGGTGGTGTGTTCTTTTCTGTTTGGATCTTTCTTTTTATGTTCCAATTAAAATGCTCGTCTTTCATCATAGTGTTTGCAGTCGTTTTTTTCCCCCCCTGGTGATTAAAGACAAAGGAAAGAGCTGGTAGGTACGTGGTAACTTCACTGTCTCCAATTTAAAGTAGGAAAATAAAAAGAAGAAAGACAGTGAGGTTTTTTTCTATCCTGTTATTTAGGCCATAGGAGTCTATTGTCTGTCCTCTTCTTCTTATCCGTGTAACAAAAACAAACTCATTTTGTCTTTAACTTTAAACAGTTGAGCTTAAAAGGTGCAGCAACAAAATGAAACAGTAAGAAGGCGGAAATGATTGTTGTTTTAGTGGCTCTGTTGACCAAAAGCACGGCGCTCCAGTCGATGAAAGTCTGCTTCTTCCTTATGGGGTTTTGCATGTCAAAAAGAGAAGCAATCTGGTTCAATATCAGCTTTTTATTCCACAGATCATTCTGCAGGTTCATTATAAATATTTAGCATTTTTGATCACTTGCATACCCCTTACAAATGGAGTCCCTCCCGTCCCTCAGTGAGATCTAGAAGCACAAGATCTATATCCAGCCATTCAGCAAGGATACTGCTACAGTACATGGCTGCACATCTTATTTTTGCATTTGACCAATTAGATGAGCCGCTGAATGATATATATTACCTACTGTAAATTAAGTTGGAGAAAAAAAAAGGTAAAAAGCTCATTCCAAAGTTAAAAAGTAAAGTTAAAAAGTTAATAAGCCTAGTTAACAATTATACATAGGTTTATAAACTAAACATTGTAAGTGCCTGTATCCGGATTAATGCCTCTAAGGTTATGTTATACCAAACAAAAAGTGTTTCTTTCACTCTCAGAGTGTTTTTCATGAATTTTTCTTCGGGCAAGCTGGCATTGACATTATTACATTCACATTGATTTTTGCCATCAAAATATCCATATTTTTTGAATGTTACAAAGGTAATAAGATCTTATCCTGGATATCAATAACTCTATTGGCTTGAAATTTAGATTTTCAAAAATATTATGATCACATCTTAAAGGTACAGGGAGCTTTTTGACAAACTTTTTAAGAGACCCGCCCTCTCCACATAAAAAATAAAACAACACACATGCAAAACCCTGTACCCAAGAGGGAATGCCTATTAAACGCATGTGACAGTGTGCACAAGCCCATTTCTCCTCGTGCACGCTCAGTTTAAAAGTTGCTGTTTGCATCCCTCATACAAGCTTACTTTCCAAAAGAAGATTTGCAGTTTTTCCTTTATGTCAGACTGTAAGAGAAAATGGTGACGAGCACGTAGGACGGCCTTATGTAAACATATCACCAGAATGATTGACAATTAGGAGGACCACTTATTTTGATGATCCACCCGGAAATAGAGCATCCTCCACTATACATGTAACAAAATGAAGAAGGGTGAGAAAAAAAGGGGGCTGAATTATTTACTGTGGGTTTTTGTGGAGCAATGAGCGTGGAGCTGGAGAGGGGTCTGTATGAATGAGTGGTCAGCTTGGATGATGATGATGTCAGTCTAATGAAATGCAGATCCAGTTTACTACAACACATGAAAGCTCCATATTGGGCCGTTCTATTTTGAAAAAGCTTGATAAGTCAAATCTGGGCCATATTTGCCTGCCATGTGAATGTAGCCTGAGGCAATGGGTGGCCCCCTACGCAATTGTAGACAAGGACGTCTCTTTGCTGATGTAATGGTGCAAAAAATTCCTCTTAAACCCACCTGATACTGAAGTGAGTGACCGCACTGAACCGTATTTGTACCGCAACACATGCCAGATTTCAACATTTAAACACGACACCAATAGCAAAGCAAGCAGCGGTACTTTTAATTACTGTGTTAATAACTGTGTATAGTTGATTAGACAGTTGGTAAAAAAATAGACTCATATAATATGTTTCAAACCACAATAAAGATCTTAAAAGAACGATTTGAGTGTTTTATTTTTTTTACAGATAAGAGATAAGCATCTCCCTGCAATTAGTTTTTGGAACTTCGGATGTCTGTAATGTGGTGGTGCACTGTCACCAATGGTTCCATTTAAGGTGCGCAGTCACTATTTTTGTGATCATATACTACTGAAAATTGCATAATTGTATCTTCTTGGCCGATTTATGGAACTGTCGTTGGATCCTGAACCTTTATCACGTGTTGTACTTCATATGGGGCCCACCCAGATAATGTTACTTAAGGGCCTGTTGTTGTGTCGTTACGGCGTTGGCCTGAGAGGTATGGTTTCAGTTTGTGTCCGACCACCTTACTTTGACACCCCTAACTGAAATCTAGATAAATGATCTTAAATGATCGCATCAATGGCAATCAGAGTCCAACTGTGTTTAATTTAGGCTCAATAGAAAGTCCAGTGATTTATGAAGATAAGTGAGCATCATGAAGACCAAAGTACAGACAAAAGATCAGACTAAAATATTTTAATTATTGGTGTACATAGAAAATGTGATGTCATTCTGAAAGCTGGGGTCAAGGGTCATCATCAACCAGGGGAAAGGGAGCCTCAAAATACAACCACAGCTACTATGAGATGTGTAGAGGAA